TCCTCTTTGTGGGAAGGAAATTCTAAATTGACTTTCTCACTGAATAGCATCTTTCACAGAGTATATGAAGATGACTTAAGTCCAGATATAATTTGTTCTGAAACCCTGTAATGACTCATAGCTTCAGTTCTTTCTGTGTAAGCCCCAGTGTAGACATTCATGTTCCAGAATGTGTCATATCTTGATTTAGTTTAAACCAGCTAAAAATTACTTAAATCAATATAATGCAGTGTTAAATTTAGGAATGTTTACACAGAGGCTTAAAATATCAGTAGTATTTACACTGAAATTTCATGCAAACTGTATACATAAGACGACATTTGAAATCTGTACAACCAGTAAAAACTTCCACTGCACTGTCCCATTTCCCAGTCTGTCTCAAACCTAGCTTGCACCTCAAGCTGTTCTTGTTACATTTAGGAGTTGAAGGGACACATTTGAACATGACGTGAGAAGACTTTCCTCTCAGGAAACCTTTTGTGCCTGGGAGAGGGCACTCTGAATCAGCTGGTGGTGCTCCTTCACGGTTTTTTTGAACTGTGCAGCTTCCTTTGCAAGGATGAGGGGGAGGCTCTCCTCCTGTTTTCTTTTGGACACAAATGCATCCTGGGCTGTGATTGAATATCCCCTTAATTAAGTATAGCTATTTTCACTCTGTTTTAGAGCGTATCTAATCTTCCATACCTGTGTGAGATGGGTATTTGCTTGCCATGTGCTTTGTGTGGTATTAATTCTGCATGGGTGTTACTGACTCCATTCAAAGCCAGACACTAGGGAATGGGTTGAAAAAGGTGGTTCATGGCAGTGAATACTATTTTCTTTTTTTGTTGCTCACACTTTTTGTTTGTTAGGAATGGAGAAATACAGAAGTTTTTATAGAGGAAGGAAATGAAATTATCATTGGGAATGGAGAAATACCCTATGAAAAGAAATCAGGCAGTTTAAAGCAATGACAGAATAAGAAAATATCTTCATAAAAAGTGCCTAAAGTGTGGCTTATCCCCTATGCAGTGGTAAAGAAATGGTTTATCAACATGTCTTTAATTCATTTTACATGGCTGGAAACTATATCTCCAAAAGCTCTATGGTGATTCATGCATGCAAGGAATTTTTGTGTGTGATACATGAATGTTGTTCAAGAAAGAAAACAGTAACCTTTTTTTAAATCATTATGGTTGAGTTCTGAATCAACTTACTTTGCTGTGTCCCAGAAGTCTTTCTTAGAATTAGAGTATCAAACACATTTTAATTTATTTTCCCTAGGTGATAAGTAAGAGAAATAGATGTGCACGTTTTATGTCACATTCAGACCATGCCAAAAAATTGTATGATCTATTGTCTTAGTAGGAACAATTGTGTCATTTCCATAAAATCCCAAGTATAAACCTACCCAGACTTCTACAATGTGGTATGTTGACTTAATCTGTTTGGGAGTGAGATTCTTTACAGCCCGGAACCATCATGAAACAAGAAAATAGCCCTGAATGAGGTACTGAAAATTTACATCCTTTAGGAAATTCTGGATATCTAGATGAGCCTGAGGAATTCTTTTTTTTTTTTTTTTTTTTTTTCATAGCATTATGCAATGGGAAGGAGAATCCAAATAATTTAGTCTTAGCCATCACTCATCAGGGAACAGTAATAACATGAATTTTTCAAATTTTCACATTTGCAATATGAAATAAATTGACCTTGCTGTTTCTGTGAGGGACAAGAAGAATGATGAAAGTAAGGCTTTATTTAAATACAATATGATGAGAGATGAGAGAATTTGTCCTTTTATGAGCGTGTAATCTTTGCTGTGGAAACAGAGAAATCACATCAGACCGAGAAAGAGTATTTTTAAAAGAGAAAATTGAATGTAGTAATATGTACATGGGCAAGCTACAAGAAAGCAAAACAAATTCAGAATTTGAAATTAAAGAGTCAAAAATTAATTTCAAGTTTTGAGGCAGTAGCAGGTTGCTGAACTATAGTAGAATGTTTTAACAACAAAACACTGTGCTACTAGTAGATAAAAGGTCAGTCTTTCCTTCAGTGGCCATTGCACGGTAGGAACATGATTAGGAAGTAGTATTGTGTGATGTTAGAGGCAGGATGAGAAACAAACTGATGCTTATTTCAGCACATCCTCAAAACATTGCATTCCTTTGAAACCTGGGATTAGATCCCCTTCACAGATCCCTTCCAACCTCAAAGATTTTCAGCGATTCCCAAACACAGAATGAAAGTTGTTCAGTATTCAATCATAATAGGCAATTGTATTTAAACTCCAGGCAGTTCCTCAGTGGCAATTACAACAGTTGTTTAATTAGGATTATTGATTAGTGCTGTTATTACTTTTGTTATGAAAACATCTGTAGAGGTTGTTATCATTGTTATATACTTTTTATAAATAGTTCTGTCAATTGTTTACACATACAAATATAAAGTATACAATGCATTACAATAGTCATTTTTTAGGCGGAAAACATGGGACAAAAGATAAAATCCTTCTGCTCAGTGCTTTTCTAAGCATAATGCCCATTTCCACCCTGGGTCATCCATTTGAAACATTTGGATGAGTTAGAAACAGAACCTCTGCAGTCAGAGTCACTGTCACCAGTTCCTGTTCCGACATCCCTTTCCCTGAACTCTGAGTTCAGAGAGGAACTGACTGATGGTAGTTACCAGCATACATGGGGCATATGTGAGCTCTCTGTGCTTGTTTTAACACCTCAGATAACTGCTGGTAAAGCTGGATTAATATTTGGTGCTAATTGATTCTGAGATGTACTAAAAAACACAAAACAGATTAAGAAATTTTTTTGTGAAGAATTACTTAACAGTTTACTATGAGGTGGTTGTAACATGTGCAATTACAGAATAATCTTCACTGCCACAATTAAGAAAAGTATGTGATCTAATTTGCAGACTGGAATGTCATCTGACCCCTTCATCTACTGTTGCCAAAGGTAGTTTGTGTCATCCTTGGCAAGGATAAACTACTAATGGCAGGCAAAATATTTGAGGTTAATTTAAAATCTAGTAATTTGTAATAATAATTTTTAAGATGATATGTACCTTCTGTTTTTTGACAGAGTGGTTCTCATAATTTTAATGGTACAATTAGGCCAAATTCTCACCTTCATGCAGCACAGGACAAAAATCTCTTTCTACAATGAAATTTTCAAATGATCCTGCCGATTAAGTTTCAGAACAGCTGTGATTTTTTTAGTTTTCCGTTATATAATAGTAAATTAAGCTGTGGTATAATCTGTGACTGTGAATGTGTCTGATCGGTTTTTCTCTCTTGTCTATTTTTGTCCCCTGATTATTCTCATTTATTATGGAAGATGAATAATATATCAGTGGTGTAGGTGTATATATAAAGCATTTTTTTTTCTGCTTTAAGGAATGACTTTTTTTTTACTTTCGTATTTTATTTCCTATATGTTGTATTATAATATTTTTTGTATAGGATTCAGTGTTTCGATTTATATTTTTATGTTCCATAAGTATGAAAAAGAATGTATTTTTAACATCTGTGTCCAAATAGAAATTCTTTCTGATGATAAGAAACTACTAGACCCCTCCAGCTACATTCTAAATGATGATTTTGCTTTTCTAGGTACCAAAACTAATTTATCTTATATACATAGAAAGCAGTCAGCAGAGACAATTTACAGTTAATTAATAAACCCACTCGATCACAATAAGCTAATAAAGGCAAGTGATAATGTGTCTTTGGGATAGAAAAATTACTCTTAGGAGAAAACAAGATAGAAATGTTCGAAACATTTATTTTAAATCCACACTGCATATTAACTAGATACATCCATTTTAGTAATTCAGAAGTATTATCTATGTAGCTGATATGGTACATAGGAGAAACTGCAAATATTACAATATCTAAAGGAATGTTACTGCGTTTTTGTCTCTGAGTTTTCCCTCACACATTGCCTCTGAACACAGAAGAAATGAGCCTTCTGGTATTCAAGTGATTTCATATTTTCTGTGGAAGTATTTGATGTTTGTCATGAACTTGTCAAATATGATCTGTTAATTAATTAGAGACCACTCTGTTTACTATCAGATGTTTTTTTGCTTAAAAGGCGAAATTACATTTCCAGGTATTTGAATAGCTACACTGTGCAAAATTAACAGAATATACACCTGCCTTAGAATTTTGTTTTCCTTGTTAGAGTAAGTGCTACTATAAAGTAGCACTTCCTATAACTACTATAAAGTAGCTCCAGATTAAAAAAATATCTAAGTAACCAGTAATGACTGTCACACATATATAAAACTGCAGTGGAATCAGTATGGTGAAAAGCTTGTTCTAGGGGTTAAAAAGAAAAATACTGTTCACATCTGCTGCTTGTAGGGAAGATTTATGTGCGTCATGGTGATGATACCCGACATTTAATTCCTGTCAGGAAGTAGCTCTACTGTCAGAGAGAGTTTGTGCACAAAGAATTTCCAAGTTCTCAGGTGCTCCCTAGCATTGTGTATTTGGTCTTGAATGTAGAGCTCCTGCCAAGTGCTATAAAATGCTGTAAACATTGGAAAACCCAACCCACAATGAAAAACTAGCAGTATCTCAATGTATGCAGCTCAGAAAAGGATGATTTTTCTTTGTCTTTGAGTTCTGGTGTGAATTGGCAAATATTTGTCTGGTAAATGGGATAATGCCTGCAGCATAGTCTAACCACTTTGTGGTGTCCCAAGGACAGGTTCCACATTATTACTAAAATTATTGTTGATTAAGAGAAGCAGAACAGAATATAACTCCAAGTCAAAACCAGATGAATTCTCTTTAATTTTCTTTGTTTATAGATTGCAAGTTTAAGGTGGTCTGCCTAAAAAATTTCAGCTGTTTGCACTTTATTAGTGTTTTTATTTCATAATTATTAATAAGATTTTTATGTTCATTCTAAAGCAAATGATAATCTCATTCTCTGTCAGTATGGGACACACCGCCACATGAAATGCTTTTTTTTCCCCCTCAACATGCATAGGTTGCCAGAAAAAAAAGGAATGTGCAATGGAGATTGTTAACATGATCATATCCTAAGACAACTGTTGGGAAAATAAATACACATCACTTTGACATGAAGGACAATTAACAGTGCCATGTATTACTGAGGACAGGTAAACTGAAAATTACTTTCCTTCCATTCTTTATTCATTAATCCTGTGTGTCTTTTTAGGCCTGCTATTACTTTCTTCCCAAACTTTGTTCTTGCCTGTTCATTTATAACTTTTCATATATTCACAAAAGGTTTTACAAGAAAGAAAGTGTATAAATGGCTGATTGGTTATCAGTGTTTACAACAGATCTCAAAATGACTTTTAAGTTTGAAACTGTAGGTTCTCCACTGATAGCAGATGCAAATTATAGGGAATGAATTTATTGTGACTCATCTGTGTCAGTCTTGTAGTCGTTTGTTTGTGCTTAATGTATAAAGTAGAGCTAAGCATTAATCATTAACAGTCAGAGAAGTCTGCATGCATTCCCCGGGATTTGGAGTGCAATAAGCATGGAACTTTTTATTAGAACATTAGTGTGTGCTGACGTGAGCACAGTCCTGTATTTTGTATTTGTACAGAGGAATACCAAATCATGAGAGAAATTTAGAGTACAGAACATTTTTCAACCTGATTTTTTGTTTTGTTGCCTTTTTTTGTGCAGTCATGATTGTGAAAAGGGAATTCTGATGGCTACCAGAACTGGAATGGAAATTTTACATTTTCCTTTTTCATATAGCTAAATAGATTTTGAAATTTTTCTAGGTTAATAATCAGTTTTGATTTTTCTTTTTTCCTTGTAAAAGCACTTTTTGACACTTTATCCTACATGCAAGTATGCTATAAAGAATTATTTTGTGTTTTGAGTTCCATAACCATCCAGATATTAAAAAAAGCTTTCAACTTAAAAAAGCCAATCCTAAAAAAAAGTTAGAAATAATGATACTAAAAGAATATCAGGATTTTTTTCAATTATCTTTCTTTCCCCTCAAAGAAGGATAACCACTATAAATCAAAGAAGAATATGGTTTTCTTCTAAATTTGTTTTCTTTTTAGTATTTTCAAATAGAAAATATATATGTTTAGAAAACCATTTTACTGAAGGGCAGTTTTTAATATGCCTTATGGTAGAATGTTACTCTTTTTTTCTAATAATGCTACTAGAAATTATTGGGCAGTGATGACCGTCATGTTTTGGAGACTGCTGAGAGGTGTTTTAAGAAACTTTTTGGTGTGTTGGTGCAATACAATTGGAGTACTTGTAATGAGGGTGGCGAGCTAAATTAGAATTAATTTTCATTGGTTGGTATTTATTTAAAGGCAAAAAAAAAAAAAAGAAACTAAATTTTCAAAATAAATGTGAAAGCATCTTCGAAGTGGACTTGTCTGAATTGATATTTAGTCCTTTGTTCTCTTCCCTTTAGGAAAAAAAGAGTAAAAGAGTTAAAACTAATGTGTTACTGTAGATATTTGTTCTATTATGGCCACTTGTCTGTGAGAATTCCTGTCTCAAATCAGTACACCACCTGCAGGGTGAAATTCTGCTCATTTATTTTTGTATGTCTTAGAGTTCAGATTTTTGGTTTTTGGTGGGTATTGTTCATTGGTTTTGGTTTTCCTGTTTTGGTGTTTTGTTTTTTGGTCACTCTATTAAATTACTCAAATCATATGTTCGGGTATCGATAGTATCACTTTCAGGCTTATATTTACAGAAACATTTTTTTAAATACATTCTGGGATTGCTTTTTTGCACTTCAGAAGAGAACTTGTCTGTGGATTAAAATTAACATTCTACAAATCTCTGCTTGAAATGTATAGGTTTTTATAATGGTGAGGAAACACAAATGGCATATATGGTGTTCGTTTTATCTAATTACCCATACTGTTATCTTCTGAGTAAAATTAGCACTTGTATTGGGGTTGCACTGCGAGGTTTTGGTAGCTGGAGGGTTATAGGGGTGGTTTCTGTGGGCAGCTGCCAGAGCCTCCCACTGTCTGATTGAGCTGATGCCATTGGGATCCAGGATGGACTCACCACTGGGCCCTCAGCCATGGTGGTAACTCCTCTGAGATAACAGTTTTAAAAAAAGGATTGAAAAATCCACCTGCGCAACAGGCAGCAGCAGTGACAAGAGAGAATATATGAAGGAAAGAGCTCATCAGACACTGAGGTCAGTGAAGAATGAGAAGGAGGAGGTGCTCCAGGGACCAGAGCAGAGATTTCCCTGCAGCCTGCAGTGGAGCAGATCCGCCTGTCCAGCTGAGGAGGGGAGTCCCTCCTGTCCCTTCAGGGACAGCTGATATCCAGCCAGAGTCAACCCACTGCAGCTTGCCATGATAATGCAGGGATTTATTACAGCAGTAATCTATTTATTTTCCCTTTCCATCTCATATGGTAGGTGTGCAGGTGCTCCAGGATCAGCAAAACTTGCTTTCTAATTGAACATAAATTGTACAAGCCTATAGCATTTAAAATACAGTGCACTTGTTACGATACGGCAATTTTTTGATGGGTGGCTTGGCTTTAAATACTGTCTCTGTTTAAACATATTTTATTGTGATGGAAGCAGAAATTTGAATTTATGACAGATTTTAATGCAAAAAAAAAGCAGGTAGATTATATGTGCTTTAGCAACAATTCCTTTATAAAAGTCTTAGCAGAAAGCAACTTTATCTTCTTCAGCTGGTGTAACTTGAGGAATTGCAAGGTGATAAACTTGAAAATTTTCCTATCTTTTGAACAGCAGTGAGCTTATGTAAAACTAATCTGCTTTCTGAATAACTTGGCCCATCTGCAATTTATTTACAACAGAACAAATCTTTTAAAATATGTCTCAGAAAGCCCTTAGGTTGTGCTATACCTTCTATCACTTAGGAGATAAATAGAAGTGCCTTAGTAATTGTGTTATTATGGGTCAAATTCCAGAATTCATCTCAAAGTCTTAGACAACTAACCTTTTTTGAGGGAAGGTAAAGCAAACATTCCAAATAATGGCCATTATAAACCATCAAAGGATGGCATATAAATAGCATTTATTTTCAAAATTTGATACTTATGTTGGGTAATGAATTGGATCCACTGAATCTTTGTCCTCTCACAGTTTATCTGCATCTGCAAAATTTCCTTGGACCTTTTCCCCAGGAAAAGAATGAGAACCAATGCACTGTCAGAAAAGCAGACACAATGCTTGAAGGTTCTGCAGGCTTCATGTACAAAACAGCAATTGAAAATAATGGGTCAGTACTTTGCAGTTTTGTGACTTTGTGACTTTGCAGCTTTGTGACTTTGTAATCCAGATTGTACATTCCTCAAAATCCTCTGATAAGAAGTATGAAAAATGTTGTCAATATTTAGGCTTTAATGCGCTCCAAAGGTTCAGCTTGGCCATGAATGTACCTATGCTTAAAGATTGATGCTTGAAAAATCTGAAACGGTAGCCTTGCAACCATAAATTCATATATCCTTATTCTTCCATATATTCTTGGAAAATAGTCCTTCCTGTATAAGATTTTCTAACTGACTAAATTTCAAAGCAACAGCTATTTTAGTAACAGCTTCTATTCTTAGGTGAGAAATGTTAAAAACTTCAGTATTAGTGGTTACTGCTACACTTGAGCTTCTCATACTTAGAAGCAAGAAGAAACTAATTACTGTGGGACCAAAGGGGGAGGGCAAAAATAGCAGAAGTACAGAAGTCCAAACGTCAAACACAAAAAGCTAAAGTAAATATATTTTAAAATGTTTGAAACACTTTTGTGTCACCTTATGTGACATTCAAGAGGAGTGTTATTCCAGTTGTTATTCCAGAATGTGAAGAACTGGCTGAAAGTGCTCAATTAGTCCTCAAGGCACTGACCTGCCATAGCAGGTGAAGGTATTTTGGAAGATAGTATAAATTCATGCAGCCACTGGATGATGATGCCCACTTCTTACTGTTCATCTGCAGAAAGGTGAATCTGCTTTCTTCTCAGGGGCTGGCTCACTGCTTCTGCTGGCACATTTCACTGATATGATTGTGGGATTATGTTCTCTTGAACTTTCACCTAATAACATTCGAGAGCAGTAAAGCTTTATCCTGGTCCTCAAAACATCCTATATTTGTGGTTAAAACTTTTCCCATGAGTTTTCTTCCTTTTCAGAGACATCATTTGCCCCTGAATCCATGTCCCTCCATATGGTTTAAAAATCTCTAGAAAACTTGGACTGTATTTGAATTATAATGAAATGTGAAAGCAGGGAATTCTGAAATGTTCCAGGGCATTTGAATTTTTAACTTCCTATAATTTTAATTTAAAAATCGAACTATAATAGTTGTATTTAAAAGACAACAGAAATGCCTCTCAATTTGTAAACGTATGTTGGATTATAGGATGTCCTGTAAATACTAAAATTAATTATTTGGGAAGAAAATAATTACAGCAATGGAAATATTATAAGCATTTGTATTTTACATCCATCTTATTTTCTTTATATTGTATTTTTAATGTAGTCCAAGAGGACATTTTCACAAGTGAAAATTGGAGCAGAATTCCACTTAAAATACACGAGATTCACGTTTTGCATTTCCCACAGTGTCTAAAATATTCAGGGTAGATCTGTAGGTATTGTGTGTTCCCTAAGGCATATGATGTTTGCGGCCAGCTCTACTTCTGGTTGAAGGTGTGGACTGCATTGCCTGGACTATACTGTGCACTACCCTGCCCGCATTGTGACAATATCTTTGGGACTCAAATGACCATTCCTCTTCACTCTTCCTGTTGCCATCCCAGGTAGTTTTCACGTGAAGCTACGTCATTTTGTTGCTGGTCAAACATTGTACTTAGAATCTCCTACAGTCTAAATTCCCTGTGGAAGGACATGACGCTGTTATTATGGAAGACTCCTTTCAGGTTTCCATTTGCCAGGAAATAAATAGCACTGTTTAGGGAAATGATCAGTACTGCTAAAGCTACTGAATGTACTAGGTTTAGAACTTTGACAGTTCTTAATAATACCTCATTTCTTTAATTCACAGCTCCCTCATCACAAGTCAAGAAAAACAAACCAAACCAGTGAAAATATAGCCATGTGTTTCAACATAGATATGATAACAGGCACCATCTTGGAATGTAGCAAAATTGAT